TTGACGCGCCTGATCGAAACCTTTCGAAAAATGTCTCAGGCGTAAAAATCGGTTGGTTTGCCTACTGTACAGGAGCAAAAAACCACTGAAATTCGCTTAAAAATTGATTTTTTGGAATACAAAATATCTTGTTTGGCATCGGGTCGGATTTCTTGTGGTGCCATTTGACGTGCCTGGTCAAAAACTTTCGATTACCGTTTCGGGCGCCCGAATCCGGAGGGTTGCCTATCCTACAGACGAATTTTTCGACATTCGACATTTTTTGCTTGTAGGGTCGGCAACCCACCGGATTATACACCCAGAACGGTAATCGAAAGTTTCCGACCAGGCGCGTCAAATGGCACCGCAAGAAATCCGACCCGATGCCAAACAAGATATTTTGTATCCCGAAAAAGCAATTTTTAAGCGAATTTCAGTGGTTTTTCGCTCCTGTACCGTATAAAAACCCAAACCGATTTTGACGCCTGAGACATTTTTCGAAAGGTTTCGATCAGACGCGTCGAATGGCGACCCAAACAATCCGATCGGACGACTCAAACACCTTCGAAAGGCAGGAACATGTTGAATTTAAGGGCTAAAAACGGGATTATACGCCCCTGGAAAATAGGCAATGCATCGGATCGTCATGTTATGTACATCATCAAGTAGAGCGCACTTTTCTGAAAAGATCGCCGTTTTGCAATCGAAAATCGGACAAAGGCTCTCGTAACAGCATCGATTTTAGTAGACCGGTACATTTTCAATTTTTCTTTTAAGTTCAGGCGCGTTGATGGACCCCCAAGAATGGTCCAAATCTTATCATATTAGTATCAAAATTCATGATTTTACACCTACTTTCAGAATCTGGACGGCGCTCCTCAATTTTTGAAACTTTTAAAAAAAGTGGACCACCCTATCCTGCACCTTCTGCGCCTCCTGCCCCTTCTGCCACCTCCTGCGCCTCCTGCACCTTCTGCGCCTCCTGCCCCTTCTGCCCCTTCTGCCACCTCCTGCACCTCCTGCACCTTCTGCCACCTCCTGCCCCTCCTGCACCTTCTGCCACCTCCTGCGCCTTCTGCGCCTCCTGCACCTTCTGCGCCTCCTGCTCCTACATCGCCGCCGCGGCTCCCTGTCCCGCCGCCTTCGAGGGACCCCCTGGGGCTGGTGGCGGAGTGGGTTGATCAGTGCCGCATGCCGCCGCCACCACCCCAGCGTCCCGCTGCCGCTGTGCTACCCTGTCGTCGTCCCGTGCAGCGCCCCGTGGCAGAAGTTGAGGGCGTCCGACGCCCCCCCCCCCAAGTGCATCAAGATATGATATGCCTACGCTGGAACCCACGAGGAGCAACGTGTGGAGCCGTCTCGGCCATCGCGTCGGCGAGACACCTTATCCTCTCACCAGTGGGGGAGAGCAGCATGGCCAGCACCCAAGCCGGAAGGGTAAATTGAGACACCTCTTTTCGCTTGAAACATGAGGCCACACATACTCCACTGTAAATAATTTCAATTAATAACGATTTTAACACGAATTTGATTTACTACCTAACCGGTATCTATGCTTTTCGTTTAGTATTTTCATGTGACAAGCTAAGCCAGGGCGCAACTTGTGACACCTTTTACATTTTTCAGCTCTCTTTAGTGACACCCATTTTTCTTCTTCAGATTTTATATCTTATTCATAATTGTCCTCAACCATCTTTAAAATAAATGAAAAGAACTTAAAAAGTTCCAAACCCGCCTAAATGAGCCAATTTTCAATACATCTTTACCATTTCCCTCTTTTGTCTCATATTACCCCACATTGCAGGGAAATATGGGACGGCAATCCGAGGGTTATTGAAAGGTCCCTACTGCACCTAAAAATCTGAGATTTGGTGGCAGTGTTGCCAAAGGGTCAATGAACAAACGATGAACACCTCAGCACCTCAAATTGAAATTAAAAGGGGGAAATTCACAAAAGAACTCGAAATTTGTCTCATATTACCCCGTTCTACGGTAGCCGAAAAACACTTAAAAAACGGCGAAAAATCGAGTTTTCGTCAGATCTCTCCTGTCTTGATAAAAGAGGGCTGGGGGCGCCAGCCTCGACAAGTTAAAAAGCTACAAGGGTCAAGATCGGGTCATTTGTAGTTGAAGCAACTCCATCTAGTTTGAAGGGGGGCCTGGCCTGGCGTTCCTGCGGCATTTCCTACAGCATTTCCAAACGCTGACCTCACCATTTACTTGCCATTCAGAAATGGTATTGATTGGCGTACGCACCGTTTCTACACCACAAATGTGAACATTTCAGCATTCTATAAACGGTGTGCAGACCGTTTGTTAGCATTTCGACAGCGTTCCTACACCGATCGTGACCATTCATAAGCCGAACCAAAATGCGCTGCGCTCGGCGTCCACACCATTGCTACACCGTTCCTACACCGATCATGACCATTTGTAAGCCAACCCAAAAAGAACTGCATGCAGCGTCCACACCGTTGCTACACCGTTCCTACGCCATTCCTACACCGTTCCTACACCGTTTCCTCGCAATTCTCAGAGCGATCATGAGCCGCCCCCGGTGGGAGTTGAACCCACGCCCTGGTGGACCGAGAGCGCGCACGTTACCCCGAACCCACCAAGCTGCCTTGCGACTGGTGGTCCATATGGCTCTCTTCAAGCACTGCGGAAGCTAGTGCTGTGGCCATTTCAAAAATGCTGTGGAAACGCTCTGGAAACGGTCACGAGGCCTTCGCATCCACGCCGTTCCGTCACCATTCCTTCACCGTTCCTAGCCCATTCCTCACCGATCGCACACCGTTCGTGAAATGACCTGCAGACCAATGTCTCACAATTCCATCAGCATTTGAACATTGGCATGCACAACAGTAGTATAAATGCCCCGTGGTGACCCGTCGCCATCTTGATTCCCCCAAGTGACCTGTCCTGACCTAACCTTTGGAAGGGTCAAAAATGGGTCATTTTTGGAAAAAATTTTTTTGTCTTTTTTGTGGATTTTTTTTGGAGGTGAAGATGAGGGCTCTAACCCAACCTAACCTAAGCTAGGGGGTGGGCCTAACCTACCCTTCAACCCCCCAGGGGGCGTTTGGGGCGATCAGGACTGTGAGGCGCGTGAGGTGCGCTTAACGGAGGAGGCGGAGCGCCTGCGAGGTAGGCAGGCCCGCCACGCTCCGTGCCGCGCCGCGCCGCCGGGGCGCCTGGGAGGCCACTGCGCTCTGTCCCCAGGTGACGCATCGGGCCTGCTTGCTGTGTCCCGAAGCGCCTAATCAGACGGATATCATTGGTTTAAATTTTTAGGGAATTTTGTCGTTTTATGATTTTTTTGTGTTTTCAGTTTTTTCTTTTCAGTGCACCCTCATCGAGGTGAGTTGAGATACACCGGCATCCACAGGCCCACTCGCTTCGCATTGCGCGCAGCACAAGTTTTGGAGCTGTGAGAGCCTATGGTATCATTATGGCAAGGTGCCCAGGCCTTGGGTAATTTTTTGAGGCTTGGACAACCGAACTTCTCTACATCAAAGATTTTCTTTGAGGGTAAGAGGAATTGAAGAATTCTCTTCTTCTCATCCCCCTTCACGTAGAGGAAGTCATACTCCGCCGACATCTCGCTCAGAGTCTGGTAGGGCGAGAAGCCAGTTTCCCAGGGAAGGGAATGCAAGCGCCTCACGATGTATTTGTTTTGGCGCAGTTGCTTCTCGGGGATCTCATCTCCGGGGTAGGGTGGAGCGAAGGTGGCCGACTTGTGGATCTGGGCCGCTTCGTTCTGTTCATAGAACGAAACCTCCTTGAGAACGTACTCCCCGTACTTGCCCCGGAGCATCTGGATGTCGCAGATAGCGTAAGTCATCGTGCTGATGTGGACTGGTCAGCGACTGAACGAAGAATGATGCTCCTGCGGTCGGGCGCCTAGATTTATTCCCAGCGCCAGCGCCGCCAGCGCGCCCTCACGGGAAAAACTGGAACTTGTTGGTGAAAAAGGCGCTCGCACCCAGCGGGACTCGAACCCGTGCCTCCGCGCTCGGAGCGCGGCAGAACACTGTCTCTAACCCACTAGGCTACTGCGCCGTGCTCGCTTCTGGATGGAACGGTACGCATGTTTACCTGGGAGCGCCGCACGGCCGCGCGCAAGTCCGAGCGTGTTTCGGCCGGTTTGAATTTTACCCGCCGCCGCGCCAGTTCCGGCTGCAGAGGAACCCTTCCCCCTGTGCTACGCCTCGCCATGCCGTCGGTGACGAGCCGAGTCGGCCGCCGAGGCGGCCGAGCCGAGCCGAGCGACTCCACGCCGCCTCCCCTCCTCCCCGCACCTGGAGTGCTGTGCGCCCCCTCCCCCTTTCTCCCGTTGCTGCTCATCCCTTTCATTCATTGTCCCCTTCATGCCGACACGTAGTGTTCCGGATTGGGTGGGCGGTCAAAACCCGATGACTCCAGAGCGACTCTAGAACTCGGCCGGTGAATGCAGTGCCGCCCGTAGGCACTGTCAGTAGGCTGGCGTAGGGCCTAGGCTATCCCGTCGATAGTGCCTGCGGCTGGCACTGCATTCACCGGCCGAGTTCTAGAGTCATCGGGTTTTGACCGCCCACCCAATCCGGAACACTACCGACACGTGTTTGATATCATTTCTCCGGCTGAAATATTTTTCTGGAATTATTGGCAATACTCCCCCTGTCATGTCTTGTCCGTGGGAAAAACTGTCTGAGAGAAGCTGCTGGTCCAGAGCCCCATCCCCTTCGCCCCCTCCCCTCTCCCCCCCGCCGGTGTATTCTGAATTTGCATAACACCTGTTGTCTCACTTCAAGACCGTGTCTATTGACAAGAAATAATATTTGAGAGATTTTGACATCCTACGTTTTATTTATGGTTGTCGCAAAATCGAAAACTATTAGAATTTGGCCGGCCGTTAGAACGACTGTTGCGCCCTCTGCCGGCCGAATCCGGCTCCAGCCCTTCCGGCGCGTTCAATCTTGTCACTTGTCGTCCACGCGTCGCAGTGGTGTCAAGACGTGAGGTGCGTGCGTCAGGTGATCATGGCATTTCCCAACGCTGATATTTTGGATTATGAAATGGAGGAGGGAGAAATCGAATCTTCGGGCGAAGAAACCGTAGACCTGAACATATCAGGAGAACAGTTCCGAGAGGTAAGTGAAATGTAGACAGTGTATGAGTGTCCGTTTTCGCTGCGTCGGCTCACCTCGGGGCGCGATAGCGTCATGTGGCTTTCTCACTGCGTCCGAGTGTTTTTCGCGTCAGTGTCGTGCTCATGTCATAAAATCCTTTTCGGGGAGGTAATATTCTCGTCTCGGAAGTGTTAAAATCATGAGATCTGGGCTCAGCGTCCCCTGCACCATGTGGTCGCGGGGCGCGCCGGCAGGCCTCTGCCTGTTCGGCTTGTTTTTGTGTTCCCTCGTTTCGAATCTTGTGCGAGACGCTTCGCGACGGCACTCCCGTGTGAAATTCGAAAAATTTTGGGTCAAAAAAGTGTCGAATTACGGCGAGTTGACGCCGCCGCGTGAGCGTGGGAACCGGGCTGTCTCCCTGCTTGTGTCGCTTTCTGAGGGTAAATTCGGAGTGTTCTGGGTTCGAATCTTGTTCGGGGCGCCTCGCGGAGGTTTTCGTGTGCAAAATTCCGAATAAATTGTGTTAGAAATACTAAAAACAGAGTAATGTTGTCCTTCCCTCTGGCGGCGTGGGTCAAGAAATCTCAGTCATTTGCTTGTGTTGTCTTAGTTTGTACGCGTGCCGGCTCGCAAATGAGACGGAACGTTAAAGGTTTGATTTTTGAACCTGGTTAGTGAACTTCAAATCGACGCGCCGGCAAATGAGGAGGGGGGGGAGGTGTGGTGACGTCACACCCAGGGCTGAGTCAGTCGCGAGGTGTCATGGCGGATTGTTTACGTGCCGCAGCAATTTTTGTTGTTTTCTTTCAAAGATTTTATCATTGCCTGTGTGAAACGAACAAGTGTTGTGCCAAAATCATCCGTCTGTCAGTGGGAATGAAAGGGAAAATGTGTCGTTGCGAGAAAACGCTCTAGTCGCGTGCTTGATTTAGTGATCGAGAGGTTAGGTTTTCTTTAGGGGTTGAAATGAATTCTACATTGAATCTTTCTTGTTTCAGCTCAACGGAGCAGAGGTAGTAGGAGAAGCACGCGACTCTCGCCCTCACGTAACTTCTGTTCAAGAAGTTACGCGAGGGATCGAGGCCCCTGAGACCTCGGAAGAAGTTGAAGAGGAACGGTATTCTCGTTTTCGTGCGGAGAGGACAAACATTCTTCCTAGTCGCTTGCAGGGAGACCCTACTATTCGAAGGAGGACACAGCCCTCCGTCATCACCAACACTGTGAGTTCATTTTAAAGGCAAAAAACTAACTAACTTACAAAAACGAAAACCTAAACATTGTTTTGTTTATAAAGGGCCAAGAGAGAGGAGTGCTTCGAGAAATAAATCTCAATCCCCCCGCTGCTAACTCTCCAGCTCATGCTAGTGTGAGTGTGCCACCACCTCCTCCTCCACCTTCCCCTGTCCTGGAATCTCCGAAAGTGAGTTTTAAAATCTCATTGTATTTAATCATTTTTGTTTTTTTGTTGTTGAAATAACTTTTGTAACTGATTTTTTCTTTTCAGTCCGTATTTGTTCGGTTGGGGCCGAAAGTGGTGCCTGTGATTGATGCCCCTGAAATTGACCCTGTAGACAAGAAGAAGAAGAAGAAAAGGACACCCAGTGTCCGTTATCGAGCTTGCTATGTGGTAGGTTCTGAAATATTTTTTATCCTTCATGAAATAGTTTCCCGGGTGGAAGGATCTTTAGTTAAACTGTAGTTTCAACTACAGTACCAAAACTGCAGTTCCCGAACTAAAGTTAGTTTTAAAAAGAAACTGAAGACTAAATACAATTCCACTTTGCAGTTGAAATTGTAGTTTTCTGTCAGTTCACAATGTTGTTTTAGTGTTGATTTGAAGTTCAGTTGGAGGTTTAGTTTAAGTTTCAGTTACAATTTACTTAATATCCATTTCTGGAAGTAAAGCGACTGCTGAAAATAAATATTCAAAAACTGTCTCTCATCTAGTATGTTTCCGTACTTAGTATGTATTTTAAACATATTCTCTTATCGACATACTAACGTTGATAGTTATGTCTCAAAACTAGTACGTTTCCATACTTCTTATGCAATCTTCTAGTTTTATCAAGTAAAAGTTACATACCACTAGGGGAACTCAAAATTACAGTGGCTGCTTCATTGCTTTTAAAGCAGATGAGGTTTACGTTGAATTTTTTGTCATCTCCCTTTAAAAAAAGTATCAGGTTAAAAGCAAACGTTTAAGGTTTATAGCTAATACAGTTGGCTTTACTTTACATGGTATAGTTGTTCGCTGTTTAAAAATTTATGCAAGTTTCCCCTTTTTTAAAGTTAGCCTCCCTAGAGAGACAAAGTAACCTTAAGTCTGCGACAAGTTTACGTAAACTGACTTGTCGCAAAGGTCCAAAATATTTTGCGCTTACATTTTTTATACTGACAGTTTAAAATTAAAATTGGTAATAAAATGCAAGTTTGTCATGAAGAGGACTACAACTTTACATAGGATTACTCTAAAATTGCTTGTAGTTTAAAAGATGTAGAAAAATTCTTAGTTTTGATTTTTTTTTATTAAATCTAAATCAAAGTAATTCTGTTAAGTCCTTCATATACCCTTTTTAAAATAAACATAATATTACATGCTAGTAGTATTAAATAACACTTTCGTGGAGTGAAGTTGGAGCAAAGCATATTGACTACCGCAAAAATGGACACTTAGTGCATCATCCGCTAGGTGGCGCTAGTGTCGCATCATTTACGTCTTCGAGTTAAAAGTGTTCTTGCAGCCGATCAGAGGAATATTTTTGGATCAAACTCTGTGCAGGGCAAATATTTGAGATGCTATGACTCTACCACAAAAGGATTGACCTCGATAGGTGGAATATTAGGGAAATAACTTTGAGTACAACTTTCCTCTCGAGTACGGCTACGGGTCGTAGTTTGGTTAGGCTCCGATCGCTGTGCTCCCAAGTGCATCAGTCCTCGATGCGAAGTATATTTTTTGCGAGTGATCAACTCCGAGAGGAGGTGACTCCACTCACTAACACCTAAGGTTGAAAACACCTAAGGTGGCTAAATGATAACTGGGCTGAGGCTTTTGAATTTTCATTCTCTTTCCGGAAACTGAACCCCAACTAATCTCTGTCTAGTTATTTCAAATGGCTTATAAGTTGTTCGAAACTGAGGTTGAACTGCAGTTTGACTGCAGTTTAACTAGCTCGAAAAGGAGGGAGAAACTATAGTTGTTCCAAATAACTGGTAGTTTTTGCATAGTTAAACTGCAGTTTTACTGCAGTTGACTACAGTTTAACTACAATTTTTTTTCTCTTAAAAGTTACTTTACACTTCTTGATTTTTTAATTTTTTTTTCACTTAAAACAATACATTTTACAACAGAAAAACTCCTGTTTTGTCATATAGTTTTAACTGCAGATCCTTCCACCCGGGTTTTTATAAGAATAAAAAAAGAATATCATTTCTCTGTATGTATCCAGACTCCTCAAGAACTTGACGCAGCGATTAAAGTTGCTCAGAAGAAACGCCAAGACAAAGACGAAGCTACTAAGAGGAAACGAGAGGAAGAACTAGGTATCGAATTAGCCATTGCAAGACTTAAGTCAAAAATGGAAGAAATGAAGAAGAAGAAGGAGGAGGAAGATAAAAAAGATGAAGAAAAGAAGAAGACGAACAGAGAAGATGAAGATAATGTTAAGTAGTTTGACTTTCTCAAGATGATTTTTAAAGATGTTTTTAATGATAAAGCCTTCAATTTCTAAGATGGTTTATTTTTAATGATAAAGCGTTAAAATATTTTTTAGATGGTTTTTAATGATAAAAGCCTTCAAGGTTCATTTTATGTTAGTTTTTTTCTAGTTAGTACCACTGTAGGTATTTAAATGAAAAGAGTCAACTAATGTTGTTTTTTATTTGTTATCTGATTGAAATGAATAAACCTTCCAAGCTGGTCTGATAGAGTTTTTTTATTTTTGTGAATGAAACTCAAAGCATCATTATCAACACGTAGTTCACTTTTTATATGATTCAAAACTTCTTTTGGGTAAGAGTGATAAATTTTTATCAACACTATGAAGGGAATGAGCCTCTCGTTATGTTTTTTTTAGTTGAGTGACACTGTTGAATTATTTTATTTCTGACCTATGTTGAGTTGGGCAGTTTAACCTTATAGTGTGTGAGTCGATTTTGGTAATGTTATCTTGCCACAAGCAGCTGCTCAGTCTGTATTAACTTGCTGAGTGCCCCATTGATTTTTAATAGAGTTTATGTAGTGGAGAAGCTTCTCTGATAGTAATTTTTATGAGATTTTAAAAAAAATTTGTTTCATTTAGAGTGAAAGACTCACTCATTTTATCGGCTCTTATTCCAACGGAACAAGACACTAAATTGATTGTACTGGAAGATTGACTCTTGTCTCCTTCTGTTTCATCTATTTGAGCTTAAGCACATTTGGTATTTAGTGGCCAGAGTATCTTTTCATTAAAGGAGTGTAGAATTTATGAAGAAAAGTTGACATTTTGTTACTTTTACTTCAGTGAACTATTTTTTATTTTTGCTACTTATTTTGAGTTAGAGTGATAGACTCTCAGCAAGAATAGGAAGGGAATGAGCCTCTCGTTATGTTTTAGTGGAGTGACACTCTTGAAATAATTAATTTCTGAGCAATGAAATATGGACAACATAACCTATTGATGGCTGACTAGACTCAGCAGATGTGTAAAGGTGTACAGGACAGCTGCTCAGTCTGTATTGACTTGACGAGTGCCCCGATGATTTTGAATAAAGTTTATGTAGTGGAGAAGCTTCTCTGATAGTCATTTTGATGAGATTTTTAAAATTTTTGGTTTAATTTTGAGAGATAGAGACACTCACTTTCTCCGCCCAAAATCCAACGGCAGAGGTGACTGAAATGTTTGTCACTAATATTGTCTTATGACTCCTTCTGTTTTCACTTAAGAAAATGAAAGCACAATTGGTATTTAGAGTCCACAGTATCTTTTTGTTAAAGCGAGTGAAGAATTATTGAAAAAAAGTGGAGTTTTTGAACACTACACTGTAAGATTTGTAAGAATATTTTTTTAGTGAGAGAAGGCTTCTCTCTAATTTTTAAATAGAGCTCAGAGAAAAACATATTGTTTTCCTACAGTCATCATTGCTCTATGAAAACGGGGTGGGGATGAAGACCGCTCCCTGCCCCTCCTCCCGCTCCGCTTCACTCAATTTTCTTGTTTGTTGATGTTAAATGAGCAGGCTCGGACTGGCCAGGGCAGACAGGCAGAAAAATCTGCCGGGGCCTTCGGGTTTGGGGCCAGTAACGCCACAAAGTTGGTCAAAAAGTGATTGAATCTCCGAAAGTAGCCGTTTTTGCTGAATTTGGACGGCCACTGCGTCCGATCTAGTTGCGGCCAACGGCGTCCCTCGACGCCCTAGTATTCTTAAGACCCTACTCTTTCATGCCCTGTTTCGGGAAGACGTTGACCACAACGATTTTGGCTTTGACCGCAACGATTTTCCGACCAAGTTGGCCAAAAAGTGGTCGAATCTCGGAAATTTGCTGATTTTGCTGACTTTGGGTGGCCACTGTGTCCAATCTAGTCGCCGTAAAAGGCCTCCCTCGACGCCCTAGTGCTCTAAAGACCCTACTCTTTCATGCCCTGTATCGGGAAGACGCTGACCACAACGATTTTGGCTTTGACCGCAACGATTTTCCGACCAAGTTGGCTAAAAAGTGGTCGAATCTCGGAAATTTGCTGATTTTGCTGACTTTGGGTGGCCACTGTGTCCAATCTAGTTGCCGTGAAAGGCCTCCCTCGACGCCCTGGTGCTCTTTAGACCCTACTCTTTCATGCCATGTATCGGGAAGGCTATTGACCGCAAATAGTTTGGGAGCGGTAGCCTCACAAAGTTGGTCATAATGATGATCGGGGGCCTTTTGCGGTCTTATCCGCTGAGGCCTTTTGGGGGCCAGTCCGAGCCTGTAAATGAGCAACCCCCAATCACTTCAAAATGAATTTAAATATACTCAGTCTTTTTTAAAAAGAGAGGAATAGTGGGTTTTTAATCGCTTATAATCAATATAATCACTAATAATCAAAATAATCTGGGATAATCAAAACAATCTGGGATAATCAAAATAATCTGGGATAATCAATATACTCAGTAATAATCAAAATAATCTCAATAATCAAAATATTCACTATAATCATTATAATCTGATAATCACTGTACACGAAAATCTCGAGTTGTTTACCCCTTGTTCCAGCCACACGCATCAGTACGTGTACACCAGTCGCCACGATGGAATCGCTCCGCTTCATGCTCAACCACTGGAATCAGAAAGAACTGGTCGCCTCGCAAGCCACAGACACGGTTCAGATCTGGAAAAAAGGTTTCCTACAAGATGAATACAGTCTTGGCGAAATCGAAGAGTTCTATCTTGAGAAAGAATGGCTGGTCCCGAAAATTACCGCCCATCTCACAGGCAAGACCGAGGACCACCTCGGCCAGTATGACCGCTTGCAGTCTCATCTCATTCATTACATTAAGCTGCGAGATAAGCCATTCGTTCTTGTTGAAAGAGACGCTAATATTAAGGCCGTAGGAGCGCAAAAATTTTTTTTCACTAATTGATAGTGATCGATGTGGTAAGGCACCATGTCAAACCGTTTTGCCCGGCGACGCATAGTTTCGGCGTCGCGACGCCCCAAAGTTCGAAATTTTGGCGGTTTTTGACATTTTTCAGACCACACGACGGGGAAATCAAGGGTCGCAGCGTCTTGAAACTTTGCACACTTGCTGGCAGGGACTGTATGCAGGGGATGGTCTACTCCAATTTGCGCTCTAACTTCTAGGAACGTAACTGGAACGCCTTGAAAATGAGTGATTTTCAGAAAGCTCCCGAGCGGAATCTAATGAAAGGGCGAAAAAATGGGCCATCACATCCCGTAGGCCATGCCTTTCTCTGCACGGGCAAGTTTTTTCCATCTCTCTAGGAGGTGTGGTACTCGCGTCGTGTGGTCTAGAAAATCACTCAGATTTGAAGGTCCTGCACCAGTAGAGAGAGACAGGCTGCTTCGGCCGATGTGTTGTTTCTGTCGCACAGCGGAGCTCGGGGCAGGTAGTCGGGGTCCGGGGTGACGCGCCGGGCGGACAATAGGGGAGCCGTCGAGGAGCCGTCTGCAAGGCAGGCGGCACCGGGCCCCGACCAGTTTTGGCCAATTTTCATCGCGATTTTGGAAGAAATTATCGTAGAACAAAAATTCAAACACCATTAGACCCAGCTTTCAACGACGAATCCATTGCCGCATGTTCCAAAAACGCGAAAAGGCTCGTTTGAAAATTTGTATTTTGGGCCTGGGGGTAATAAATCAGCCTGTCATCATCGTCGCCTCGGCGCAGCCCATTGTGAAGCAGGCCTCTCCACACAAAAGGGAGGCGATCCTTTCGCTACCTGAAGGCTAAAATTTTTCTAACGCGTCGTTTGACACTCATGGGATGTTCACCATTGTACTCGGGATGAAATTTTTGATCTTTCCATCTAAAAATTAAGTTTCTGCGGCCACTTTTAACAGAGCAACGAAAACAACTTTTTTAGCTATATAGAAATAATCAGTACTTCGCAAAAAATATTTTGTCAAAATTTGGTCGAAACTTTTAATTTTGACCTGAAACTTGGACTTAGGAGTTGAAGACCGGCCCCGAGCTCACGAAAAGCTGGCGATCTGCTCCGTGCGGCCCAGGCCGAGCCCCGTGCCGGGGTGTCATTCACCCGCACTCCGGCAGGCCGGCCATACAGCCGGCCGAGGGTGCATTGTCTGCGAACCAGGTCTACGGGGCATCGGGGGCCCGGCCTCAGACGACTGCGGATGCACCCGAAAACGCTCTCGGATGCTACCATTCTCAGAGTAGCCACCCGCTCCTACGCCCTTAAAGAGGTGGATGGAGTCCCACAATTCAGTCAAACCCATCTCGGGCTCACTGCGTGGACCTCCATGAGTAAACTGGGCATGACGGTCTTCGAAGTTTTTGCTGGCCCCGATATTGAATGGTGCTGAGTCCGATGCGTCACCTGGGGACAGAGCGCAGTGGCCTCCCAGGCGCCCCGGCGGCGCGGCGCGGCACGGAGCGTGGCGGGCCTGCCTACCTCGCAGGCGCTCCGCCTCCTCCGTTAAGCGCACCTCACGCGCCTCAGTCCTGATCGCCCCGAACACCCTCCGGGGGGTTGAAGGGTAGGTTAGGCCCACCCCCTAGCTTAGGTTAGGTTGGGTTAGAGCCCTCATCTTCACCTCCAAAAAAAATCCACAAAAATGACAAAAAATTTTTTTCCAAAAATGACCCATTTTTGACCCTTCCAAAGGTTAGGTCAGGACAGGTCACTTGGGGGAATCAAGATGGCGACGGGTCACCACGGGGCATTTATACTACTCACAACATTGTTCCAGCGTTCTTTCAACGATCTGACTAAAGCGTTCCTTCGCCATTTGGCAATTGCTCTGGAATCGGCGTACAGACCATTTACTGCCGTTTGTAGCCCTTTCCGACTGTCACGGTTTCTACACCATTCAAAAATGGCCTGCAAATGCCGAGAATGGTGGAGAAACGCGTCGAATGCTCAAAGAACGGTCTCTACACCATTCCTAGCCCTGCCAGGAACACCAGGGTGAGGCCCCCAGCATGCAACAAAGTGACCGACGGTGGACAA